TATGCTGTTGTTCAGTACGCTGCAGTTTTTTACTAGTGTTGGTGTGGACCAGTTTGTTGTTGGATACATTGTAGATAACCTCAATAATCTTTAATTTGCCTGTGTAACACTCCATACCCCAGGAGAAATTTTCCACATCCAGCCTCAAGGCACGGTACTTCTTGTTACCTTCTGGTACATGGACTGTATGTGTGCCGTGTGGGCCAGTCTTAGTGTTGGCAGCAGGGTGTGCCAGCTCATATTTTTGCTTCTTGTGATATGGCTTTCTCATGTCCCTAGTCTTGCGGTACTTGTGCCAGTTGTCCCGAGAGATGCCCATGGCTTGGTGCCACCTGGAAAGAGCCAGTGTTGGTTTTTAGAGTTATATTTAATTATTAAAGTTAACAGTTTTTTAAGTTCGGTTCCTAGCCACATTTCAAATGCTCAGTAGCCATATAGGGTAGTGGTAATTATATTGGACAACACAGCTCTTTACCAGCTGGCCCATCTTTGACCAGAAAGTCTCCTGCTTTCTCCTTTGCTCATTCTGCTCCAGCCATGATGGTCTCTGTTGTTTGAGCACAGCAGACACTTCCCATTTCAGAGCCTTTGCATTTGCTATTCTTTTTGCTTAAAAGCTTTGCTCCCAGATAGCTGCAAGACTTAGTCCTCTACCTTCTTCAGGTCTTTGTTCAGATGTTACCTTCTTTTATTTTTCCCCAAATTATAAGAGAAGTTTATTGAGAAATTTTATTTAGAAAGTTACGGGGGCAATTAAAAGTGAGCCATAGAAGAAATTGGTTAAGGAAACAAGTTACAGAGGCAAAAGAAAAGGGTCCTTGGGAGAAGGGTGTGGCTTTTCCTGAGCAACCTATTTAATATCTGTACCAATTGCCTTCTCTCTCAAATTTTTACAAATCCAGGCTGTCTTTTGAAAGGAGAAAAGAGAGCTGAGAGGGGAGAGATGACCTGATTTACAACAGAAAACAATAAAATAATAGGAATTGTCCCATACAGACAAATAAATGAATATTTTAGGCAGAAGCACAAAGTAAGATAAACATGAAAAAGTGACTGTATTGCCCAACTTACTAATACCAGATTAGTTTTTGTGGCTCAGAGGATTAGTTTTTGTGTACATGACTGACCTCCTTATAGACTATAAGCTCCTAAAATGCAAAGCTCTGCCATAAAATTCTCTTACTTTCTTTGGCACCTAGCACAGAACTTTTAAACCAAAAGCCGATCTGAACTCTGCACTGATGGGTCACGTCTTGGTTGGCCTTTTGTGTTTTACATTCTGTGGTCACCTGTCTACGTTCCCTCCTTTTTCAATTCCAGCACCTGGTATACTTGCTGATGTTATATGGGTGTTGGCTTTGCTTGTCCAATGGCTATGATTATGACACTGGTTTTTTCTTTCCTTGCCCATTCTTGTGCAGTCTTACTCATTTCCCAAAACCAGCTCCTCTAAAAAGGCCTCACTGAATCTCCTGGTTTATTAACTCCCTCCTCAGTGCTGCCTTTATGTTTGTATACATCTGTTTTGTGTTCAAGTAGGGAATATAAATACGTAAACACAATTACAATAGAATATGCATTATTGAGGGCAGAGACCAAGCCTTACTAATTTTTTCAATCTTTAATGTCTCCTTCAGTGCCTTACACATAGTAGGTACTCACTGCTTTTTAAGTTGAATGAACTAGGCACAGAACACTAAAGAAAATAGCTATTAATGGGCAAAATTTGTGTTTTTTAAGATATAGATTTCCAACTCAAATACCTTTTTAAAAACCACAGTGAGAGGTAAGAGATGTAGAAGCTGTGGGAAAATATATTTGAGAGGAGCAGTAAAATCAAAGATTACACCCAAGTAGGAGGGAGGCTAAGGGGCTGAGGTGCTCAGAAGAACTTACCATATTAGAAAGCCAGGAAAACACATGTGCTCAAATGGAGTAACAAAAGTTACCTGTTTTTATCACATTTTAATCCTGGATGTTGCTCTTGATGTATTTGTACAGTTGTTTGCATCCCTATTTCACATTTGACAGTCTGACTTCTAGATAAAGATCTTCCCTCATTTGTTAACCAAGGGATTTGTCCTTCTGACTCTGTGATTCTGTGATTTTGAGGAAACCAGACCCAGTTAGCAGGTATTTTCATGGTATCCTGTTAGGCACAAGAATTTTCATCAGTCTTGCTTTTGCTGCCACTTTTTTTTCTAATTTATTGAAGTGACCTTGGTTAATAGTTTCATATAGGTTTCTAGTGTATATTTCTTCCCTTTCCTTTTTTTAGAAAGGATTTTATGTATTCTTAGAGGGAGGGGTAAGGGAAAGAGAAAAAGAGGGAGAGAAACACCTATTGGTTGCCTCTCACACACACCCCGACTGGGGACTGGGCCCACAACCCAGGCAAGTGCCCCGACTGGGAATCAAATAGCAACCTTTTTACTTTGCAGGGCAACACCAACCAACTGATCAGAACTCAAGTGTACATTTCTATGGTACATGATCTGTAGATTGCACTGTATGCCCGTCACCCAAAGTCAAACGAATCATCTTCTGTCACCATATATTTGGCCCCCTTTGTCCTTTACTACCCCCTCTAGTCACCACCATACTGTTGTCTTTGTGTGTCTGTGAGTTTATATCTCACAAATGAGTGAAATAATGTGGTTCTTAACTTTGACTGGCTGACTTCTTTCACTTAGCATAATATTCTTAAGGTCCATCCATGTTGTCACAAATGGCAGTATTTTATCTTTTCTCATGGCTGTAGTATTCCATAGAATATATGTAGCACATCTGCTTTATTCAGTCCTCTATTAAAGGAGGCTTTGGTTGTCTCTCTGTCTTGGCCACTGTGAATTATGCTGCAGTAAACATAGGGGTGCCCAAATCTTTGCAAATAAATGTTTTCAGATTTTTCAGGTAGACACCCAGAAGAGGGATTGCTGGGTCATGTGGTAACTCTTATTTTAAGTTTTTTGAGGAACTGCCATACTGTTTTCTATAGTGGCTATAGTAGTTTACATTCCCACCAGCAGTGAATGAGGTTCCTTCTTCCCCATAACCTCCCCAACACTTACTACCTGTTTTATTGATAGTAACCATTCTAACAGGGGTGAGGCGGTATCTCATTATAGTTTTGATTTGCATTTCCCTAAAGATAGTGAAGTTGAGCATCTTTTCATGTATCTGTGGTCATTTGTATTACTTTTTGGGAGAGGTGCGTGTCAGGTCCTTTGCCCATTTTTAAATGGATTGTTCATTTGTTTGGTGTTGAGTTGTATGAGGTCTTATGTATTCTGAATATTAATTCTTTGTTGGAGCCGTTTGCAGATATCATCTCCCATTCAGTTGGTTGCCTTTTTGTTTTGTTGTTGGTTTCTTTTTCTGTACAGAGGCTTTTTAGTTTGGTAGAGTCCCATTCATTTTTGCCTTTAATTCCCTTGCCTTTGGGGTCAAATTCATAATATGTTTTCTATGACCCAGGTCTGTAAGTTTAGTACTTCTGTTTTCTTCTGTGTACTTCATTGTTTTCATTCTTATGTTTAGGTCTTTGATCCATTTCAGTTAATTTTTTTACAAGATGACAAACTAATCTAGATGCACTTTTTTGCCTGTGGCTTTCCAGTTCTCCCAGCATTCTTTATTGAAGAGGCTTTCTTTTCTGCGTTGTGTGTTTTTGGCTCCTTTGTCCAAATTTTTTTGCTCATATACGTGTGGTTTTATTTCTGAACTCTCAGTTCCATTCCATTGGTCTGTGTATCTGTTCTCCTACCATTACCATGCTGTTTTGGTTATTGTAGCTCTGTAGAATAATTTGATTATTGTAGCTCTATATTGGGTAGTGTGATACCTCCAGCTTTGTTCTTTATAAGTGGAATACATTTTAAAGTGGGTATTTGGGTAAACTATGAGTATATTTTGGTTGCAAGCTTATAATATGAAAATATGCTTTGATTTTGGATTAACTATATTGTCAGGAAATTAGAATATGTGTAGTTTTTCTTAAGAGTTGCTTTTGGTGACTCAGAGCGTAAGCTGGCATTGTGTCTTGGCAGTGAACTTTTTATTGATAGGGTTCTGGGTAAACTGGAAAAGTATTTTCTCCTCACTATAATCATTTTTTGCTAATGGGTATATGAGCTTATTCCATCAGGCATCAGAAAGAAAAACCAAGGGACAAAAATGCTTTTTCTCTGGTTCTTGGACTAATAATAATGCTCTTTGTTTTAAATTATGTTAAGTATTGAAAATTAAATGTAAGAAAATCACTGTTACCTCCCCAAAATAAATATTACAAGAAATAACATATAGAGCAAGCCCCACGATACAATTTAAAGGAGGTAAGTGTCTCCCCTTGCCCTTTATGCCCTAACTCTCCCCCTTCTATCCAGCCTTAGCCATTTCAGACTAGCTAACTGTCTCAGACCTGAAAAATCACTCTAATTCTTAGTTGTCTTCCCCTCACAGAAAGTGTGACAACTCCTTTGTTTTCCTTTTTATTTTTACATGTGTATGTGTCCTAGCAGCCCAGCTACAGTGCATCAGTCTGCGAGTTTTCCTCTTGCACCTAGGCTATTCCTGGTAGACCATTCATGAACTTCTTATCCTTTTTCCTTGCTGAAAGCCAGATTTTCTTTCCTTTTAGTGGGTACTAAACAGAAGCAACATTCCTATCTCTTATTCATAAGTAGGTGACATCCAACAGTTACTTAAGAAACTTAACTGCTTCATAACACTTAACCCTGTTCTTCTGTTGGCAAAGCTCGCAGGGCTCACCACAAAGGTCCTACTGTTCAGTTACGTTTTCACCGAGAACCAGGTGTCTTGCTTCCTTGTCTTATTTATCTTGTCACATGCTTTTTCTCGGAATGATTTAATATAAGTATTTTATAGAAATTCTAATGCATCTACCTTAAGTTAGATTATATAGCTATTGATGTGGGTGATGCTGTGAATTTGTGATTTGCATGGCTTCAGATGTCATAATTTTTCCCCCCACTTTCTAGGAAGTAACAGCTAGCAGTCGCCACTATGTTGACAGGCTATTTGACCCTGATCCCCAGAAAGTTCTACAAGGTGTCATGTAAGTAGTATGTATTTAAGAGTCTATCAAAAGTCTTGTTTGTTTTCATGTTTGAATCTGCCGAATATTATAATTCCGAAAATGCAGGATTATAACTTTTCCTCTGCTGTTTTGGAAAGACCCCTTAACAGTCATGACTTTAATATTATACTGTTAAAATTGCCTTTTTATAGTTGTTAACTGACATGGTGAGCTTCATTTTTTTTTTTTGTAGAGTACTTGTTTTACTTTTTAAAGAATGTTTTCTTTGGTGAATGCTTTTGTGACTTTAAAGTCCAGCAAAAGCAAGAGAATAAAATTGATCTTTTATCATTGGAAAGGATTAGGAGGGTAGCTCAGAGGATTTTTTGTTTGCTTGTTTTGATTTTGGTTAATTCATTGACTGTCTCTAAGGTTTGAATATCATGGTAATGTTTTAAATATCAGAAGTTAGAAAGCACTCATTACAAAATTTAAATAAACTTTTGATAACATAAATGCCCTTCTCCAAAATTCCCCTGTGTTGAATGAGAGGAAACATTTTTAAGCAACATACTTGAGGTGATTATGCTTTAAAAAATTAAGTGGGACAAGTATAAGATTTCAGCTGATTGAAAAATGAATTTTCTAAAGAGCAGATTATCCTGCTCTCCACACCTCACTTCTAAGGGATAAGGTCCAGCCCGAAACTCTTCACAGGGTCGGAAACCACGTAGCACCTGCAGGCCTGCACGCTGTCCAGAGGAAGAAGCCAAAAAAGGGTCAGGATGAGATACATTTGGGACAGCGGCAAAGGCACAAATGAGTCCCTTTCTTCTTCTCATTCTGCTGGTGTTAGCCAATAGTACCTTCAGGTTGACTCTTGCTCAACCATGGTATAGAAATTTCTACTGACTGCAGTTCTTATTCACACCCCAATCTCCCTTCTCTCACCCCTGACCACTAAGACATTGTAGAAGGGATACCTTGGGGATGTGGATTTGTAAAGCGGAGGCAAAATATTGAATACAAGTGAATAAAGCTGTTTGTTCAAGTTGAACTGGAAAGAAAAGTTAAGAGCTGGATGGACACCCATCTGGGATACTTGACACCCACCTTATCTTCACAACCTCTCGGATTACAGAAACAGGAGATGGTACTTCATGTTTTCTCAATATGTTAACTTTGCTTTTGTCTCCTTAACTAGGAGACTTTATAATGATTTCATGAGCCTCTTTGAGACTAGTTTGATTATTACCAGGAAATGTAGTATTAAATGAATCTGTTAAATCAGTTTGGGTTGTACTTACATACACAAATTAGTTGAGGGGATAGGTTTAATTTAATACTTCTCCTTAGATAGGCAGGCACTCCACACGCAATCAGATGGTACAGATTGATAATCCTGGAAATAACTAAGTGATTTAATCGAATCACCTAGATTAAGAATCACTTAAGACTGCTCAATAAACAGTTGAAAATGCCAGGCTCATTAAGTGCTCAGTGATTGATAGTAGAAGATGATATTATTTTTATCACTGCTGCTATAACCATAGTAGCATTTATCAATCAAGGTTAATAACTAAATTTATCAATCAAGGATTTTGTGTAAAAGACTTGTACCTTGAGTTGTATCTGATATGAGTAGCTAATTCTAGTGTTACTTGTCTATTTCAGAAACTCTATTTACTAAAGAACACTGTAGCTTCTTGAAAATTGATAAAATATCAAGTAAAGCATATAAAATTCGAAAGAGTGCATTATAACAACCAGTTCAAGTGTAGTTTTCTACCCTTAGTGCCTCGTAAAAACATACCAAGTTTCAGACATATAGCTGTCAGCTAAGACAGGTAAGAAAGGTTTTTTGTGAAGGGCTGGTGGAGTAGAAAGAATATGGAGATGGACAACAGTATGTTGAACTCCTGGTTCTGACATTTTTTGGTGCCCTCATTTACTGTCTGTGTGCCTAGGCAAGTTACTTAATTTCCTTTAGCCTTAACCTCATCATCTATAAAGGGAGAGTAATACTGCCTGTAGTGCCAAGTTGTAAGAATTAAACCAGGCTTACAAAATTCAGTACTTGGTATGTTGTGGAAATTACAGATGAGCACTTAAATGGTTAGTCAGTATTGGCCCCAATTTAAAACAACTTCAAAAATTAGGTGATTTTCCTCAAAGAAGAGGAAGGAAAATGCAAATAAAAAAATCAAACAGATGAAACAATTCAAACTGAAGAAGAGAGAGAAGAGCTAGAATTCTTGATTCAGGGAAGAGAATGTGGGTGATAACACATTCTGGCAAACATTATTGCTACTTATAATACTAAAATCTATTTATAGTTTCAAAGAGACAGATCACCCAGAATCATTCTATTTTATGTCAGAACAGAGCTGGCCTTATAGGGCTGTCTGTAGTGTGATTTGGTAAAGCTTTCTTTTCCTCAGAGAGAAATATTTATTTTTTCTGACTTAATTCTTTTCTGAATTTTGGAACTGTCTGAAAATTAATTTATATGCAGGGTCCAACACAAATAACGCCCCCTTTTTCATTACAGAATCTTCCATTATGAAATCATAAGCATGTTATTCTGTTACAACAATATCACACTTAAAGCATACACCATATGACATTTTAGGTGAAATGTTCAAATTAAAGCTATGAATTATTATACCAATATTAATTACCCTGCCATCCACACTCAAGCAGGTGTTACTTCTGCTGGACCTAGTAAAGTCAAGAGAATAAGTGAATTATATTTTTAATTTTAAGTAATCTTGTCTAATATTGGAATAGTGCAATGTTGATAGAGGAAAGGGGGAATCAAAATGAGGTTTAGGAAAAGAGAGTTGACCAGTTTCTTTCTTTTTATGCACATTACACAGACACTATTGAGTCAACCAGAGACCATTACTAGACCAAAATAGGTAGGTAGAAGGGAGGTGGCCACTGAGTATAAAGAACCATGGTGGCCTATGAAATATAGAGAAGGAGAAGACAGAGGCTGAAGTAATAGGCTTTGAATCCAAAATATCCCATGAGAAAGATATAAAAGAATTGACAGTTAGCTTTAGCTGCAAGACAACAAGAGTTTTTATTATTTTTATAGCTATATTGAACTGATTTTTCCCAATAAGATCGTGAACATATAAAACATACTAGCAGGAAAAACAAATTGAAGAAGTTCAAGGTGAATAGTGAGTTTTCATTATGGTTTATAACTAATCTGTTCGGCTGAGTTACAGGCATATAGCCTTAACCTAAAATAATAGGGAAGTTCTTTGTAGATAACATCATTAAAGGACCATTTTACCTACTCAGTAAGTAGGTAATAGAAGTGGAGGCAGAAAATTAGACCAAATCTCTCTGGTAAACTCAGGCAGACAGTTGTGGATACTGTAGAATTATTCTGTAGTTTTCACCAACTGGCCATTACTAAAAAGTGTCTTCTGAAGTATATTTTGATGTACTGATCAAATAAGGTTATTTTAGTAGTGGTTACTTTCAGGAAATTATGTGCCTCTGGTTTCAGTATGATACAGGGAGGTTCCATTTTCTTACATGAGCTGAAGATATGAGCTCCCATAAAATTAAGCATTTGGTTTTTAAGAAATTTTAAATTAAAGGGTAAGTTTTAGAATAATTCAAAACAAATATCCTCATAAAGAAATATATACATATATTTACATGTATTTATTCCCTTAATACTTTTTAGTCAGTTACTTTTAAAAAGTGTTATAGGTTAAGCTGATTAAAAAGTGTTATAGGTAAACATAAACAAAGATGGCTTTAATACCAAATGAAATGAAGTGATTCTGAGTCTTGTTTGAAACTGTGTATTCCGAGACAGTTCATTCAGAGAATTAGGATTTAAAGGCTCGAAAGAGTCTTCAAAAATTACTAGATCAGACCGACATAGTTTTTACATATAGTTTAGATAAGCTATTTGCATATGTGGAATTAACTTCGATATCTAGAATATCTGTGTTTGTAATTGCATGTATCTTTTTATATTTCTAAACCATTTAATATATATAGTTATATGTAACATATTATGTATATATAATGTATATAGCCATATTATTCCACAGTGCTCAAACACATTTTTTATGTTCTTTGGAATGATTACATGTATTCAAATTATTTATTATTATTTTGGCATTTTTAATGCAATTATTAAATGTCACTCATTATTAGAAAATATCAGGTGCTTTATAATCATATATTGGTAAACTAAGGAGTGAAATACAGTAACTCCTAATTTCTGAGCAGGGATGTATACAAATTGCAACTGTATCTGATACTACATACATTCCAGAAATCTACACCATAGAATAATTTATAAGAATCATTCATTTATAATGAACTAAAATATTGCCAATTCTCAGTTCTGTTCAATTTATACATATAGTAGGTGCACAATAAATAGCCAAGTTGAGTTGAACTTCACTATAAATTTCTCAGGTACCTCTTAGATTAAAGCCTTTGTTAAACATAACTTTAGTTATTTTTGATCATCTGTTTTACTTATTTTGATGATCTACTGATCATCATTATCAAGTTCTTTTAAAATTGGCAGTTCACATATGGAAATAGTAACTTTAATTGGAATATGACTATATTTCATTTCCTAACCATGCTGGATGATAGAAAACCTACTGTACTTGGATGTTTGAATATTATATTCATCAAAAATAACATTATAATAATTATAATTAAGGGGACAGAGCAGTGACTATGTTTGTAATTTGTCAAGTCCCAATAATTTAGTAAGTTGTTGATTTACCACCTTGCCTTGTTCTAGCTAGTCACAAGTATGTATTTTTTCCTTATTTTATGGATGTTTAAATGAACAGTGAGTTCATAAGTAGGCCAGACTTTTATTTATACTTAGATGGTAGTTTTCAGTATCCGGTTTATATTTTGGCTACTTGATATCTATTAGATCAAGAATAAATGTACAGTATTACAAATAAGAGCTTCTTCAGGTAAGCAAAAAATAATACTGATTCAAAGTGAAAGTGACGTAATGGACCTTTTAGCTA